TATACTTATTTATCTTGCATAGTTCTGAAAATGGCGGGGTGAAACGGACTGTGTTACCAAGGTACTAAAGGTGGGTGGTCTTACTAAGGTGCAATAGGCGAATAGTGCCACTAAAGATAGTGTTACTATAGTTCCATAGGGGGTCATCGTGAGGTATCTCAGCTTGTGTTTATAGCTTTCGCTTATATATTTAATTATATTACATACATTTTACATATATATATATATATGCAAACATTAATATCTCTAATTCATTTCAATAATTAATCTACATACGTCTTAAAAACTTACTTAACAATTAAAACCATTACTTGAATGAAGCAGTTATTATAACTTGTTGCATGAGTCATGTTTCTGTCCTGAAAAGGATAGATTAAATATTTATCCCATACAATAATTTAACTTAGAATCTTACTTTTTCATTTAAGAAGTATATATTCACATATAATGCATGTTTCACTAATTACTTTAAATGTTTGACTTTACAAATTAAACATATTTTTGTGTTAACCCTCTGTGTATGTAGATCTGTTTTCATTCGTATCTCTAATTCTAACATTTGGTTAATAATCTTGGTAGTAAATCATTTTGCCACAACTAAATATAATAAATGATGACTTACTGTTTAACCAATCACTTTACTATTATAAAATTTAGATGACGTAGCAACACTTACCATATCATGATTTTCTATAGAATATTCACTTAAAGTAAAAACATACTATATAATTAACATTCTTAAGACTTTATGGTTTTAAAGTACAGCCTAAACGAGCTTTCTTTATGCATAACTCAAAACTCTACAATGACTATCTTGCACATATTTCTAACTCCCACTAATACTACATAAGAGGCCCAACTCAAATACCATTGGCTATGACTTACAATTCAATTGAAAGTGTAAGACTAAGTTATGTGTAGTTGGTAGAACAATCTGTACACAACCTTTACTATGATTGTTTAATAACTAAAGTGATAGACCTAAAGGCACAATGATGAAAATTCCAGAAATCTAAGTTGTATTCCTAATACACCATTTTTTGTGATTACTTATTTAATGTTTTTGTGCATTTTGAACATAAGTTTTCATGACTGCAACTTCTGGGAAAACCATATGTTAACGTGATATGACTTTATTGTATTTCTGTTACTACAATAAACTTTAGTAATTTTTGTAAATCTTATAACAATTTCATTGACATTTGAAATGTAAAAACTCAAATCATCTTACATGGTAGGAATAATACATCTAAAGTTAAATACCTAATAAATGATGCAACGTTAATGACTTATATAGATAATGTTTACACTGAGAATTTGTTTGTTACATTCCCAGCTAACTCAACAAGCTTTGGTACTCGGCAAAAGGCCTCATGGGCAGCGAGGTGCATTGCAGAGTGTGTACAGTAGAAATGCTGTTATGTTTCTTCTCATTGGAAATCTGTTAGCAAAGGTTCAGTAAAGAAAGATTTGTAAAGAAATATTATCAGTATTATTGGTATGAATTCACACATTCCTGTAACTCAAGAAAGTCTATGTACATTTTCGTTTAGCGTAGATTGAACATAAGTAATTTATAGGAGAGACGTGTGGTTGACTACCATACTATAGAAGGGAAATTATGTTAGTGACTGTTGGTGTGCTTGTCTATGCTTTATGGACCCTCGGCCACATACCCAAATGGTCTCTGCGTGAGACATTGAGAATGTCGTCGAACACAGTTCCTTCCTGTAAAGTGTTTCTTTTCACCAATGAAAATAGACATTGAATCGGAAAGAGGCTCTGTGTTTTACACCTATTTGCCGTCAAGAAAAGTTTTTATCAAGGATCACAAAATCACTCCGAAGGTGGTAACATTTGTTTCTTCCCTACTAGACAACATTGACTCATTAAATTAGGAGGGAAACTGTATTTGCCTACGCCTTTTGGACCATTGGATACATATGTAGATAGTCTTGGCATAAATAAGACTTCAAGGCTGCCATTGAACTCAGGTCTCTGAAAATGTTTCTTTTTGCCAACGAAAATAGAAACTACAGTGGAAGAACGTATTAGTAAAGTGAAGTGTCAATTTAAGAAATGCTATATGCCTGGATGGATGATTTACAAGAAAATAAAAGTCTCTTTTTTGTCTTGATAAGTCACCTAGTCACCTTGCTAGTTTGTTATTAATGTTTAACTGTAAACCTAAACAACTGATCTAAGATCCTATCTAATAGTCAAAAATTTGTTAATAGATGTTATTCATGGGTCTAATTGAACAAAAAGTATACAAGAATTGCACTCAAAGTGAAATGTATTAGACTTGTATGAAAGTTTATTCAATCTTGACAATCTAGTATTTTATAATCCATATACGTTTCAGTTTGTGTTATTTCTAAATATCAGAAACTATCGAGCTTTCAGTTTATCAGCAGAATTTGTCCCTTGGATAAATGTAAAGAACACAACCCAAAGTATAAGATGGGCGATCCGCTACTGAATGTGACGGAGGTTATGTTTGCATCCCTGTATGTGCGTTTGACAGCAAGATTTCTCGAAAACGTATGAATGGATTTGGACGAAACTTGGTATATATTTGTACTATGATCCAACTTAGAAGTGATTAGTTTTTGGAGGGTCAAAGTCAAAGCAAAGTCAGAAAATCCAAAAAAATCCCTATCTGTTAACATGGGGATTTTGCAGTCAAAAGTGATCGGATTTTGATGAAACTTGGTGAAAACATGTAAAATATTATTCCTCTTTGTCCTGGCAAAAATGTTCCGTGTCCGTTGATAACGAGGGACATAGGACATGTTTTAGTATTTGTTGAGGGCGGAATATAATCAACGCTGCGTGACAGAGGGAAGCGCTCTACCGAGTGCCCTCCAAGTTTTTTTATATCTAAATAATTGCACCTTGAAGAAGTTAGACTATGTAAATATTTTGGTAGCTTATACTTATAAACAATAGCAGTTTTAAACTGTAAATATGTGGATTCTAGATCGAAAACAAAAAGAAGTAACTTGTAAACAGAAAATAACTTATGTACATAATATACCTTCAAATTTTAAGAAAAAGAATGACATGAATGTACGTTTAGCTCTCTGTAACGTTTTCTAAAGTCAAAGAATAGATAAATTGTTTCTTACTGACTGACTTAAAGTATAGTGAACATACAACTTATTTTGGTTGTAAAGCATATCCTCCACGATAAACATTATACAGTAAACGTGATGAATTTAAAAAATGTGAAAGAAAATATATGTCTTTTCTTGTACACCAGATCTGTCATCGTAACAAAATAACAGCAACAAAATTGAAATATTTTGTTAAGAACTTTTTTATTGTTATCACAACTGTTTTACATATTTCATTTGTTCTTAAAATCTTCAGAGGTAGGATGCATACACATTATTTTGACAAATCTTGGATAAATTTACGTAATAAAGTTTCAGTATGTGTGATACTTGACAAGTCTGTGATTTTAGTTGCATAATTCATTGTCGTAGGAAGCAATTTTTGAGTGGTCAGGCCGTTGCCACAAGTAAACAATGTGACACACAACGTATGCAAAGCATGCCTTTTCCAGATGGGTCTGGGGACATGCTCTCCATAAAATGTTTCAATTTTTAATACTATGAGATTGAATCTTGAGCCATTTTACCTACAGATAATGCATACACACAACGTAATGTGTTGAAGTAAAAGAAGCAAGTTTTAATCATAAGTTATAGCTATACATGCCATAAAAAGGTAATTAGACCAAGGGGCTTGACTGGCCTTACCGTTTCCTACGGCCCTGCATATATTAGCTAGAATCACTTTGGGAAATATCCCTTATGTTTTATTCTATTTGACTAATCACATGCTAGAACAAGTATATATTATTACACAGATATTATTACTATACAGTGTAGGTCAGTATTTTATAAACTAAGATGTCTGCACTTTTCGTAAATAGTATATTAGTATGTCTAATTCTTGAAGTTTTGCTAATAAATTTATCAGTACGTGCGATACTTGTTAGGTCAGTGATTTTACTTACATATAGCAATGATATCTGCTTAAAACATATTGGACTGTGATGAAACAGGAGCTTTATCTAAGAAACTATAAATGTAGCGTCATGTGAACAATTGTTTATCATTTCAGGAGATTAGAAGCTTGATAATATACATGACAAATATTTATAAAGTAACAAATTAGACTCCGAAAACTCAAGACCTAAATTTTAATATAAGAAAATTAGCCTTCACAAAAATGAAGATATAGAGTGGCTAAAAGTAACGAAGACATAGTGTGGCTACAGGTAATGAAGATATAGTGTGGTTACAGATAATGAAGATATATTGTGGCTACAGGTAATGAAGACGTAGTGTGGCTACAGGTAATAAAGATATAGTGTGGTTACAGGTAATGAAGATATAAGGTGGCTACAAATAATGAAGATATAGTGTGGCATAGGTAATAAAGATATATTGTGGATACAGGTAATGAAGATGTAGTGTGCCTAGAGGTAATAAAGATATAGTGTGTTACAGGTAATAAAGATATAGTGTGATTACAAGTGATGAGGATATAGTGAGGCTACAAGTAATGAAGAAGTAGTGTGGCTATAGGTAATAAAGATATAGTTTGGTTAGAGGTAATGAAGATATAAGGTGGTTACTGGAAATGAAAATATAGTGTGGCTATAGGTAATAAAGATGTAGTGTGTCTAAAGGTGATGAAGATACAGTGTGGCTATAGGTGATGAATATATAGTGTGGTTACAGGTAATGAAAATATAGTGCAGCTACAGGTAATGAACATGAAGTGTGCCTACAGGTAATAAAGATATAGTTTAGTTGCAGGTAACAAAGACATAGTGTGGCTACAGGTAATGAAGATATAGCGTGGCTATAGGTAATGAAATTATAGTGTGGTTACAGGTAATGAGCATGTAGTGTGGTTACGGAGAATGAAGAAATAGTGTAGCTACAGGTAATGAAAATATAGTGTGACTACAGGTAATGAAAATATAGTGTGACTACAGGTAATGAACATGTAGTGTGCCTACAGGTAATAAAGATATAGTTTAGTTACAGGTAACGAAGATATCGTGTGGTTAGAGGTAATGAAGATATAGTGTGGTTACAGGTATTAAAGATATAGTGTGGTTACAGGTAATGAAGATGTAGTGTAGCGAAAGGTAATAAAGATATAGTGTGGTTACAGGTACTGAAGATGTAAGGTGGCTACAGGTAATAATGATATAGGGTGGTTACAGGTAATGAAGATATAAGGTGGCTACAGCTAATGAATATATAGTGTGGCTACAGGTAATGAAGATATACTGTGGCTATAGGTAATACAATTAAAGCGTGGTTAAAAGTAATGAAGGTATAAGGTGGCTATGGGTAATGAACATGTAGTGTGGTTATGGAGAATGAAGATGTAGTGTGCCTATAGGTAATAAAGATACAGTGTGGTTACAGATAATAAAAGATATAGTGTGGTTACAGGTAATGAATATATATAAGGTGGCTACAGGTAATAAAGATATAGTGTGGCTACAAGTAATGAAGATCTAGTGTGGCTATAGGTAATAAAGCTATAGTGTGGTTACAGGTATTGAAGATATAAGGTGGCTAGAGGTAATGAAGATATAAGGTGGCTACAGGTAATGAACATGTAGTGTGGTTACAGAGAATGAAGATGTAGTATGGCTATAGGTATTGAAGATATAGTGTGGCTATAGGTATTGATGATATAGGGTGGCTATAGGTATTGAAAATATAGTGTGGCAATAGGTAATGAAAATGTAGTGTGGTTACAGGTAATGAAGACAAAGTGTGGTTACAGGTAATGAATATATAGTGTGGTTACAAATAATGAAGATGTAGTGTGGCTATAGGTATTGAAAATATAGTGTGACTACAGGTAATGAAGATATAGTGTGGTTATAGGTGATGAACATGTAGTGTGCCTCCTGGTAATAAAGATATATTAAGTTGCAGGTAATGAAGACATAGTGTGGTTAGAGGTAATGAAGATATAGTGTGGTTACAGATAATAAAGATATAGTTTGGTTACAGGTGATCAGGATATAGTGTGTCTACAAGTAAAGAAGATGTAGTGTGGCTATAGGAGATGAAGACATAGTGTGGCTACAGGTAATGAAGATATAGTGTGGTTAGAGATAATGAAAATATAGTGTGGCTACAGGTAATGAAGATGTAGTGTGGTTATATGTAATAAAGATCTATTGTGGTTATAGGTAATGAAGATATAAGGTGGCTACAGATAATAAAGATATAGTGTGGTTACAGGTGATGAGGATATAGTGTGGCTACAAGTAAAGAAGATGTAGTGTGGCTACAAGTAATGAAGATATAATGTGGTTGCAGATAATGAAAGATATAGTGTAGTTACAGATAATAAAAGATATAGTGTGGCTACATGTATGAACATGTAGTGCTCCTACAGGTATAAACATGTAGTGCTCCTACAGGTATAAACATGTAGTGCTCCTACAGGTAATAAAAATATATTGTAGTTACAGGCAATTAAAAAATAGTGCAGCTACACGTAATGACAATATAGTGTGACTACAGGTAATGAAGATGTAGTGTGCCTACAGTTAATGAAGATATAGTGAGGCTATAGGTAATAAAGATATACTGTTACAGGTAATGAATATATTAGGTAGCATCAGTGTTCCGTTATTAAACGCTGTACAAAACTCAAATAGCGACTTCAATGTTCCGTTATTATACGCTGTAGAAACTTCAACTGGTGACATCAGTATTCCGTTATTATACTCTGTAGAAACTTCAACTGGTGACATCAGTGTTCCGTTAGTATACGCTGTGGAATATTCAACTGGTGATATCAGTGTTCCGTTAGTACACGCTGTGGAAACTTCAACTGGAGACATGAGTGTTCCGTTATTATACGCTGTAGAAACTTCAACTGGTGACATCAATATTCCGTTATTATACGCTGTAGAAACTTCAACTGGTGACATCAGTGTTCCGTTAGTAAATGCTATAGAAAAATCAACTGGCAACATCAATGTTCCGTTATTATACGCTGTAGAAACATCAACTGGCGACTTCACTGTTCCATTAGTATATGCTGTAGAAATTTCAACTGGTAACGTCAGTGTTCCGTTATTATACGCTGTAGAAACTTCAAATGGTAATATCAGTCTTTCGTTATTATACGCTGTAGAAACTTCAACTGGTGACATCAGTGTTCCATTAGTATACGCTGTAGAAACTTCAACTAACAACATCAGTGTTCCATTATTATACGCTGTAGTAACTTCAACTGTTAACTTCAAGGTTCGAATAGTATATGCTGTAGAAACTTCAACTGGTAACATCAGTGTTCCGTTATTATAAGCAGTAGAAACTTTAACTGGTAAAATCAGGGTTCCGTTATTATACGATGTAGAAACTCCATCTGGCGACTTCAATGTTCCTTTATTATACGCTGTAGAAACTTTAACTGGTAAAATCAGGGTTCCGTTATTATACGCTGTAGAAACTTCAATTGGCGCAATCAATGTTCCGTTATTATCTACTGTAGAAACTTCAACTGGCGACATCAGTGTTTCGTTATTATACGCTGTAGAAATTACTACTGGCGACTTCAATGTTCCATTATTATACGCTGTAGCAACTTTAACTGGTGACATCAGGGTTCCATTAGTATCCGCTGTAGAAACGTACACTGGCGACATCAGTATTCCATTATTATACGCTGTTGAAAATTACACTTGCGACTTCAATGTTCCGTTATTATACGCTGTAGAAACTTCAACTGGTGACATAAGTATTCCGTTATTATACGCTGTAGAAACTTCAACTGATGACATCAGTGTTCCATTAGTATACGCTGTGGAAACTTCAACTAACAACATCAGTGTTCTATTATTATACGCTGTAGTAACTTCAACTGTTAACTTCAATGTTCCGTTAGTATACGATGTAGAAACTCCATCTGGCGACTTCAATGTTCCTTTATTATACGCTGTAGAAACGTCAACTGGCGAAATCAATGTTCCGTTAGTATACCCTGTAGAATCTTCAACTGGTGACATCAGTGTTCCGTTTTTATCCACTGTAGAAACTTAAACTGATAACATCAGTGTACAGGAAATGAAGATATAGTGTGGCTATAGGTAATAAAGAAACAGTGTGGCTATAGGTAATATAGATATAGTGTGGTTACAGATAATGAAGATATAAGGTGACATCAGTGTTCAGTTAGTATACGTTGTAGAAACTTCAAGTGGTAACATCAGTATTCCGTTAGTATACACTGTAGAAACTTCAACTGGAGACACGAGTGTTCTGTTATTATACGCTTTAGAAACTTCAACTGGTGACATCAGTGTTCTGTTATTGTACGCTGTAGAAATTTCAATTGGTGAAATCAGTGTTCCGTTATTATACACTGTAGAAATTTCAACTGGTGACATCAGTCTTCCGTTATTCTACGCTGTAGAAACTTCAACTGGCGACATCAGTATTCCGTTATCATTCGCTGTAGAAACTTACACTGGCGACATCAGTGTTCCTTTATTATACGCTGTAGAAACTTGAACTGGCAAAATTAATGTTCCGTTAGTATACGCTGTAGAATCTTCAACTAATAACGTCAGTGTTCCGTTATTATACACTGTAGAATCGTTAACTGGCGACATCAGTGTTCCGTTATTATACTCCGTAGAAACTTCAACTGGTGACATCAGTGTTCCGTTATTATTCTCCGTAGAAACTTCAACTGGTGACATCAGTGTTCCGTTAGTATACGCTTTAGAAACTTACACTGAGGACATCAGTGTTCCTTTATTATACGCTGTAGAAACATCAACTGGCCACATCAGTATTCCGTTAGTATAAGCTATAGAAAAGTACACTGAGAACATCAGTATTCCGTAATTATACGATGTAGTAATTTCAACTGGTGACATCAGTGTTCCGTTATTCTACGCTGTAGAAACCTTAACTGGCGACATCAGTATTCCGTTAGTATACGCTGTAGAAACTTACAATGAGGACATCAGTGTTTCTTTATTATTCGCTGTAGAAACATCAACTGGTGACATCAGTGTTCCGTTACTAAACGCCGTAAAAACTTCAAATGGCGACATCAGTGTTCCGTTAGTAAACCCTGTAGGAACTTCAAATAGCGACATCAGTGATCCGTTATAATACTCCGTAGAAACTTCAACTGGTGACATCAGTGTTCCGTTATTATACGCTGTAGAAACTTAACTGGTCACATCAGTGTTCCTTAACCATCCGCTTTAGAAACATCAACTGGTAACATCAGTGTTCCGTTATTATACGCTGTAGTAACTTCAACTGTTAACTTCAATGTTCCGTTAGCATACGCTGTAGAAAATACAACTCGTCAAATTAGTGTTCCTTTATTATTCGCTGTAGAAACATCAACTGGTGACTTTAATGTTTGGTTAGTAAACGCTGGAGAACATTCAACTGGAGACATGAGTGTTCCGTTTGTATACTTTTTAGAAATTTCGAGTGGTAACATCAGTGTTCTGTCAGTATACGCAGTAGAAACGTCAACTGGATAGATCAGTGTTCTGTTATTGTACGCTGTAGAAACTACTACTGGCGACTTTAATGTTCCGTTAGTAAACGCTATAGAAACTTCAACTTGCAACTTCAATGTTCCATTATTATACGCTGCAGAAACTTCAACTGGCGACATCAATGTTCCATTATTATACGCTGTAGAAACTTCAACTGGAGACATGAGTGTTCCGTTATTATGCGCTGTAGAAACTTCAACTGGTGACATCAGTATTCCGTTATTATACGCTGTAGAAACTTCAACTGGTGACATCAATGTTCCGTTAGTATACGCTGTGGAAACTTCAACTGGTGAAAACAGTGTTTCGTTAGTATACGGTGCAGAAACATCAAGTGGTGACGTCAGGGATCCGTTACTATCCGCTGTAGAAACGTACACTGGCGACATCAGTATTCCATTATTATACGATGTATAAAATTACACTGGCGACTTCAATGTTCCGTTATTATACGCTGTAGAAACCTCAATTGGTGACATCAGTGTTCCGTTAGTATACGCTGTGGAAACTTCAACTGGTGACATCAGTGTTCGGTTAGTATATGCTGTGGAAACTTCAACTGATGACATCAGTGTTCCGTTAGTAAACGCTATAGAAACCTCAACTGGCAACATCAATGTTCCGTTATTATACGCTGTAGAAACTTAACTGGTCACATCAGTGTTCCTTAACTATCCGCTTTAGAAACATCAACTGGTAACATCAGTGTTCCGTTATTATACACTGTAGAAATTTCAACTGGTGACATCACTGTTCGCTTAGTATACGCTGTAGAAAATACAACTCGTCAAATTAGTGTTCCTTTATTATTCGCTGTAGAAACATCAACTGGTGACTTTAATGTTCCGTTAGTATACGCTGTAGAATTTTCAACTGGTAACATCAGTGTTCCGTTATTAAACGCGGTAAAAACTTCAACTGGCGACATCAGTGTTCCGTTAGTATACCCTGTAGAAACTTCAAATAACGACATCAGTGTTCCGTTATTATACTCCGTAGAAACTTCAACTGGTGCCATCAGTGTTCCGTTATTATACACTGTAGTAACTTCAACTGTTAACTTCAATGTTCAGTTAGTATACGCTGTAGAACATTCAACTGGAGACATGAGTGTTCCGTTTGTATACTTTGTAGAAATTTCGAGTGGTAACATCAGCGTTCTGTTAGTATACGCTGTAGAAACTTCAACTGGATACTTCAGTGTTCTGTTATTGTATCGAGTAATGAAGTCGCCAGTTGAACTTTCTACAGCGGATAATAACGGAACACGGATGTAACCAGTTGAAGTTTCTACAGCGTATACTAACGGAACACTGAGGTCACCAGTTGAAGTTTCTACGGAGTATAATAACGGAACACAGATTTCGCTATTTGAAGATTCTACAGGGTATACTAACAGAACACTGATGTCGCCAGTTGAAGTCTCTACAGCGTATAATAACGGAACCCAGATGTTACCAGTTGAAGATTCTACAGCGTATACTAACGGATTATTAAAGTCGCCAATGGAAGTTTCTACAGCGTAAAATAACAGAACACTCATGCCTCCAGTTGAAGTTTCTACAACGTATACTAACGGAACACTGATGTCAGCAGTTGAAGTTTTTACAGCATATAATAACGGAACATTGAAGTCGCCAGTGTAATTTTATACATCGTGTAATAATGGAATACTGATGTCGCCAGTGTACGTTTCTACAGCGGATAGTAACGGATCCCTGATGTCACCAGTTGAAGTTTCTACAGCGTATAATAACGGAACACTGATGTCGCCGGTTGAAGTTTCTACAGCGTATAAAAATGGAACACCGTTGTCACAAGTTGAAGTTTCTGCAGCGTATAATAGTGGAACATTGAAGATGCAAGTTGAAGTTTCTATAGCGTTTACTAACGGAACGTTAAAGTCGCCAGTAGTAGTTTCTACAGCGTTTACCAACGAAACGTTGAAGTCGCCAGTTGAAGTTTCTACAGCGTATAATAACGGAACATTGATGTCGCCAGTTGCAGTTTCTACAGCGCATAATAACGGAAAACTGATGTCGCCAGTTGAATTTTCTACAGCGTTTAATGACGGAACAATGATGTCGCCAGTTGAATTTTCTTCAAGGTATACTAACGGAACATTGATTTCGCCTGTTGAAGTTTCTTCAGCGTATACTAACATAACAATAAAGTCGCCAGTTGAAGTTTCTACAGCGTATACTAACGGAGCACTGAGGTCTCCACTTGAAGTTTCTAAAGCGTATACTAACGGAACATTTAAGTTAACAGTTGAAATTTCTACACCGTATAATAACTGAACACTTATGTTACCAGTTTAAGTTTCTACAGCGTATAATAACGGAACACTGATGTCTCCAGTTGAATTTTTTACAGTGTTTACTAACGGAACGTTAAAGTCGCCAGTTTAAGTTTCTACAGCGTATAATAACGGAACATTGATGTCGCCAGTTGCAGTTTCTACAGCGTATAATAACGGAACTCTGATGTAACGAGTTGAATTTTCTACAGCGTTTACTAAGCAGTATAAACTCCAAATGGCGACTTCAATGTTCCGTTAGTATATGCTGTAGAAATTTCATCTGGAGACATCATTGTTCCGTTATTAAACGCTGTAGAAACTGCAACTGGCGACATCAATGTTCCGTTATTATACGCTGTAGAAACTTAAACTGGTAACATAGGTGTTCAGTTATTTTATGCTGTAGAAACTTCAACTTGTGACATCAGTGTTCCTTTAGTATACCCTGAATACACTTCAACTGGTAACATCAGTGTTCCGTTATTATACGCTGTAGAAACTTTAACTGGTAACATCAGTGTACCGTAATTAAACGCTGTAGAAACTTAAACTGGTAACATAGGTGTTCAGTTATTTTATGCTGTAGAAACTTCAACTGTTAACTTATATGTTCCGTTAGTATACGCTGTAAAAATTTCAACTGGTGACCTCAGTTTTCCGTTAGTATACGCTGTAGAAACTTCAAATGGTGACCTCAGTGTTCCGTTAGAAACTTCAAC